TTTGATGATACACCTTCCTCATGTTGGGGTATGTAATAGCAGTTGTTATCAGTTCTCTTCATTGATGTCAGACCATTTTCACTGATCCACTCACTGTAACACACTACCTGTGACTATTGTATCTTTGAATCATGTGCTTGGGGTGAGCAGCAAGAGTGACAGCTACAGTCTCTTCGATCTTTAGCATCCCATTCTTTTCTGATTGGTATGCAAAAATGATGGATATGTCTATGAGTGATATTTTTTGGGGGCAAGAAATCATTTTGGTTCAAGACTGATTGGATTACATGGTTCTATATGAGTGATGCATTGCTGCTTAAGTCCTGAGGCAATCTTCAACTCTAACTATCATTGGTTGAATGTGTATGCATATGCACTATGCAGTGTTAGGTTACTTCAGTAAGGTGTAGTTAGCATTGTTTCTTGTGATTGGGTTGTGTTAGAAGAGAGTTAATTTTGTCTTGCTTGCTTATGATATATAAAATAAAATCTCTACATTGAGAACCAGATTAATGTTTTGCCGGGCTTAGGGAAGCTGCATGTTTTTATGTGGTAACTGTAGTATTTGAGGGACACTGATCCATGGCATGTCACCTAGAGATGGCCGTCTTTACCTGTCAATACTCTGTCTGGCAACTTCTATACTTCTCTATCTATATCTGTGTCGACTTTTTGAAACAGGTGGAACTTTGTAATTTCGTTGTGTGTTTTCGTAATTAAATTCGGGATTGCTTATGGTGGAAAAAAAATTCTGTATATTTTTCTATCAATCATCTTTAGCTTATTTATAACATTACTTTTTTTTAAGATGTGAATTTTAGAATTTTCATGTCCTTTACCAAGCAAATTCCTAAATTTCACAACCTTGTCGCTTTGCATGTCACATTTGAGCCTGTTAATTTTATTTAACCTTACCTATTTTTTTATGTGGTATCAGGTAGAGGTGATGATAAGGCATAGTTTTTTGACTTAGCCTGCCTTAGCTATTTCTTGAAGCTAAGGGAAATAATAATTGGCGTTATGGCATTTAGAAATATGGTTTGTACTCCCCAAGTCATTGATCTTACATCAGAGAGAGGGCAAGCTCGAGGAGGCAATGGTAGTGAGATACCTGAGCAAGGTGCACAACATGCTGTCAGAGTTGTAGGAAATGGAACGGATGTTGGTCTCTCTGGTGTGCGAAGTTACTATGATGTGGGCATAAATCATCACCATCAGCCTGTTCCTAACCCACCCCTCGAATTTAGGTGTTGATTCTGGTTTTGTCTTCACATCAAATATGTACAATCCCTGCATGTCATCAGCATCAATCAACAGACATGTTTCTCATGCTCAGAGCTTTGGATCGGGGAATCAAACATTGCCTCTAAACCAAGTTCCAGGAACTATGGATGAGAGTATAAGAAATGACAGTGTTGGTGAAAGTGCTAGAGATCATATTAAAAGGAAAAATGCTGCAGTTGCTGGAAGCTATCCTTTTGTTAATGGATTTGCAAGCTCAAGCTCATCTTCTCATGCACCTCAGAATCCTATGCTTAGGCCTTGGGACCCTTCGTTTGAATCAACAGTTTCTTCTAATGTTGCACCGTTCAACCCATCAGAATATCATGGACACAGCAGTTGGCTGTCCTTAGAAGGATCTTCCATAACTGGAACTAATGGATTCAACTCAATGGCTGTTCATCCAGAATCAGCACAGCGTGGGAACTATACATTTCCATCCAATCACATTGGTCATTCATGGATGTCCCATGCTACAAATGGTATTGCTGATGGAGTTCCCCAGTGGGAATATGTCAATGCAACTACTAATATTCAAGGTAAGGAGTTCCATGGACAAATGCCAGTTTTTTTTTTTAATCATGAGACATCTTTAAAATCTATTTTCTTCTATCTAATTGAACAATCAATATTGACACATATAAAATCGTTGCCAAGTGTACCTGATAAGTCAACTCATAGTTGATTAGCTTTGTTTAATTTTTTTTTAAAAAGAAACTCGAGTAAGTGGTCTTCTGAGTTCTTTACTGGGGTGATATGATTTCAAACGTTTTGCTTTTAACAGGCAGATTTGCCCATTCAGGAGCCACAGAAATCGCAAATGGAGGCTTTCAGGAATATCAGAATGGCCCTTCAACTGTTTCTCGGGGACCAGTACCTTATTTCCACCAGCATGCGATGCATGGCATGCAAGCTCATAATCTGCTTGATCCTACTCAAATGCAAGTTCCTTACCAACAATGCCACAATAACGGTGTCTTGCATGGTGGTGTTAATTACCCTGGAAACCGTCTCCACTTAGGTCCACGAATTCCAGTTCTCTTCTCCAGTCCTGAACGTACTTTTGGACCTCCACCGCATCCATTCCTGGCAAATCCAGTTAACCACCGCAACATAAGGATTCTACCACCTGAGGTAACATTACACTTCAATATGTTCTGTCAGTTAGCTTTCTGGCTACCTGCCTTTGTAGTTGGGAACAAAAACATTTTACCACCTGAGGTAACATTACACCCCAAAGGGAATGCTGGGATCAGCTTGCTGTTGCAGCTGCTGCTGCAATTTGTCAACTGCCAGCCACTGTTGCAGCAACAGCAGCTGCTGCTGCAAGTAGAAGCGAACACAGCCTTTAAGGTTTTGTCCTGTTGCATAGTAACTGCGCATATTAAATGACACGCCCTTTCTGATTTATGACAGCATATAACTTTTTTCTGTCATTAGTACTACATACTCCCTCTAGCTTTGTCCTATGTGAAACTTCTATAATTTTGACCAAGTTTATAAAAAAAAACGCGCCAGCATATACAACATTGAATTAGATTTGTTAAATTCTTCATGAAATGTGTCTTGATAGTGCACGATTTGAATTTGTAGATGTTAATACTCCGTATGTTTTTTATAAAACTTGGTCAAAGTTAGTTAGAGAAGTTTGACTTAGTACTAAACCAATGGAAACTATAATTTGGAATGAAGGGAATAGTAAGTAGCTAAACTACGTTTTGGCTATATAGTGAACGGATGTACTCTTGGCAGAATTTTTCGCAGCTGCTTTTATTTTTGTTATTAAGGACATATGTTAACAGCAAATGTAAGCTCATATGGCTATTTTGTTTGTCCCAGCAGCATGCCACAATAATGGATTTTTCGAGACTGTATGAAGTGTCAAATACTGTAGATGAGCATAGAGATATGCGTCTAGATATAGACAGCATGACGTATGAGGTATTTGGATGCCGCTGCTCTGTAAATTCACATCACATATTAGCTATTGTCTGACATGCTTCTTTGTTTTTTTCACTACAGGAGCTTTTAGCATTAGAAGAGCAGATTGGAGATGTCAATACTGGCCTGACAAAAAGTCACATTGTAGATAAATTGAGGACTAGCCTATATGTTCCAGGAACATCGAGCATGTCTGATCAGCCATCTAAATCCTCTCTAGAGAATGATGCTTGCATAATATGCCAGGTTCTACTCCTTCACTGTATACTTTGTTTATTGACAACTAAATTTCAGCTGTTCCAAACAATGAATCATCATCAGGCTATCTGCCCCAGGTTTGACATGAACATTACAGCTGCTGCGCTCGTATAGCCTTGCAATCAGCCTTGCTGATTGCATCACTTCTCTTCCACATGGTCTGAACTAAACAGTTGTGGATCTTAGTTACGCTGGTAGCTTGAATAATGTTTAGTATGCATCTGTTGACGCTGAAGATGAAAATATGAAATATCTAACACAACACCACTGTAGGGGCAGTAAATAAAACCCAGATCCCACAAGTTGGGGGTCTTTCAAATAATTTCAAAGCATTATGTTTTGTTTATGGTTGTTGAAAAATAAATTAGTGATCGATTGCTTATTCAATACTATTACATAATCAGTGACATATATACAACCCATCTTCAAGGGAAATGGTTTGTACGTGCTTCAAGCTGCTTCCACAATAGTAAGTAGATATAGTGTGAATAAAGCATTAGCGGAAAGATCCATGAAGTGCGTCATCAGGGATGAATTAAATCAGAAGCACTTTGTGTCGCCAGTTCATAGTTCTAAGTAAGTTTTGCTCGGTGCATCTCGCAGGAGGAGTACCAGGTTAGAGACTGCGTTGGCACCCTTGACTGTGGTCACAGGTACCACGCAGAGTGCGTGAAGCAGTGGCTGATGGTGAAGAACTTGTGCCCCATCTGCAAGACAACAGCATTGTCTGCCAACAGAAGACAAGGATAATGAGCAGGAATGAAATAAGCCTGTTAGATATTTGCTTCGACAAACGCTCAGCTCAATTTTGTACATAAGAAGTGGTAGACAATGGTGCTACCTGTATTTGTTGTTAACTTTGTTGTGACCGGGAGGGAGTACTCAGCTTCCTGAAACTGTACAGCCATAACATTTATTATTTTTCTTCAAATGTAGAATATTTAAAATCCGCTCAGTTCGCCCCCAATGTGTATGATATGGCGAACCAGGGAGACAAAAGCTTCTGTAATGGCATCTCTAGGCAGCCTTGTATCTATTAACTTTGATGAAACTAATAGAACATGGGTCCTCCTGTACATTTTTTAGAAGTTGACGGCACCAAAATGGCTCTTTATCACTATAAGTCCGGCCAGTGATAACGTTTCTCTGCAGCTTTAGTGCAGTCGAATGTTGGTTTTCCTCTTGCTCGAAGCTGCCAAAACATGCCAATATTTCAGCCAAATCAGTGGAAATCGCTTTCGCTATATGTATGACATTACAAAGGTCATAGCCTGCCACTTTGTAAATGTACATATATACTACTAGTGTATCAATCAAATAGCCCGAGAAATCCAATCGAGGACAGCGATTGCAAGTTTGCAATGGCGCCCTCTCCAAACCACGTTGTCAATTTCGAGCGCCAACCACCCCCAACCGCTTGACAATGTCAAGAAAGAAGATTGTCATCACGTTTTGTCTTCCTTAATCAGCAAAGCGTATGTTTGACCAGCAGGGCTAAACCGAAAAAAAGAAACTAAAAGCTAAGCCGAGCAGCAGCCGCCCGCGTTCACGGGGGAGACCTCGTCCTTGGCGGCGCCGACGTCGATGGTCTTGCCCCTGGGCGGCGCGGCGGGGTCGTCCCCGATGTCGAGCGCGTTCCGGCTGACGATGTGGTAGATCTGGCGGAGCACCTCGGCGAAGGCGCGGTCCACGTTGGTGGCGTCCAGCGCCGACGTCTCCATGGAGAAGGTGCCGTGCCGCTCCGCGAAGGCCGCGGCGTCCTCCGGCGTCACGGCGCGGAGGTGGCGCAGGTCGGCCTTGTTGCCCACCAGCATGACCACGATGTTGGCGTCCGTGTGGTCCCGCAGCTCCCGCAGCCAGCGCTCCGCGTTGTCGAAGGTGATGCGGCGGGTCACGTCGTACACCACCAGCGCGCCCACCGCGCCGCGGTAGTATGCGCTCGTGATGGCGCGGTACCTGGAGGAGACACAGGCAGGCAACGCAATCAGCTGCGATCGCCGAAAGGGTAAGGAAATTGAATGGCACGCTAGCGAAATGCAAGTAAAGTTTTTTTTTATAAAACGATAATGCACGTAAAGTCAGCTGGAGTTGAAAATGTGATACGCAAGCAAGAAACTGAAAAGCTTGTGATGATCATGGACAAACTTAATTGTTCGATTCATTTTGGCATGAACTCCCAGCTGGAGAAGTACGGAAATCAATCCCGTTTTCAGCCACAAAGCATGAAGCGATCATCAACAGGCCAGTGGTTTGGTTTTCATTTTTTGAAATGCGAATCAGAAGCACAGCTGCATGTTCATTCCGTCAGTTACGCTTAATTTTCCATATTAACAACCATTTACTAATAATCCATATAAGTTACTAACCAAACCAGGAAGCCCTGAAAATGGTGCACAAATCCTAGAACTGCATCTGCAATCTGCATAACGAGCGAATAGCAAAGAAGGAAGGGCGTAGTACCTCTCCTGCCCGGCGGTGTCCCAGATCTGCGCCTTGACGAGCTTGTCGTCGACCTGGACGGTCTTGGTGGCGAACTCGACGCCGATGGTGGACCTGGTCTCGAGGCTGAACTCGTCCCTGGCGAACCGCGACAGCAGGTTAGACTTCCCCACGCCGCTGTCCCCGATCAGCACCACCTTGAACAGGTAGTCGTACTCCTCCTCCGCGCGGTACCCCGCCGCCATGTCTCTTTCTCTCTCTCTTTCTCCTTCCTCCCGGCCCGCAACGGAACGAACGGAGAGGCGGAACGCGCTCTCGCTGATCGAACTACCGGCCGATTGATCGATCGATTGGTTGGCGCGATTCGATCGCCCCGCTTCCTGTCTAAATAGCAGCGCGGCGCCGGCCTTCCTCTCTGTCTGCCCCCGCCTCAATTATAACCCTTCCACTTCCACGCGGACGCGGCGCTGGGCAGGGCAACGCGGTGCGGTGCGGCGCGGCGCGATTCGTCTTCCTGTCTGGTGGTGGTGGGCTGCGGTGCTCTGCCTCTGCTACGGGGAAAAGGGGAGGAGCGGGGCAGGGGGGACGAGGTCGCCGCGTTTTGCTACGGGTTGGTGTGTTGCGCTGCTCTGTTTGTTTGTTTGTGTATCGGGCGGCGCGGGAGGAGGTTGGAGCCTGGAGCCAGCCTCTTCGGGGTTGGCTGGTTGGTTTCGTTGATTATTCGTAAAAAAGTACTGTAAACTAGTTTATGTGAAAGAAAAATATTATTCTAATTAAAAATTTACGATCGTTTACGATATACCACAGCCAATCAAAGCCGTGGCCTCGGAGATTGCGTTGGCACGAGTGGTGACTGCGGTGGACAGACGACGAGGCGTTGTCTCGGTCCTGGTTCCGTCTCGCGGACTCGGCTGCTGCGTACACATGTGCACACGGTTGCCTGACTGTGATTGGTCTTCATGTCGTAGCTGCCGACGGGTGGGTCACCCTCCTCCCCGAAAAAAATACCAGCAACATCGAGCTCATTAGCCACCCATCTATCAAAGTTTCGACGCAATCACGGTCATGTACATCGCTGTGATGACAAATTCCTCGCAACAAACTGATTTGCTAGACGTCCCAGCACACTAGCATTGGACGGTGTCCGCGCAGCGAGCGAGCAAGCGCCACAGCAACGTCGGACTTGTGAGCATTTTAGCGCGCCCTAGTGAGAAGATGTCGGATGCGAGTGAGCTTTAGTGAGCGCGCTTAACAGGCATGTTTGCTAAGTGTCGGACTTGCGAAAGTGAGCAGCCAAAATGATGTATTGTTGTATAAACAATCTAGTTCAAGCACAAGACAACAATGCAAAATGAATTTACAAGCCAATGACAACAATGCAAATGCCATTCATGCTTATTTATGTGGGATTTCAATGACCCCGTGTCCCTCCGCTTTCACCATAAGCATCCCAACTGGAATGGTCTCGATTTACTTTTTGAAACAAAGATGATACAACACTTGCAACATTCAAATAAAGACAGATGGAGCATTTAAAACATGCGTCAACACTTGTAAAAAGACGTGAAAACACTTAAAAACTATTACAATCATACGCAACATCCAGATAAAACGCTTGCAACATTTGCGTGAAACATATGCAACATCCTGATAAACACACTTGCAACATATGTCTGAAAAAAATGAAACATTGGGAACAGAAACTTGCAATATACGTGTAGAACCATTGCAACATATGCAACGTCCACATAAAATCACTTGCAACATAACTATGAAACACTTGAAATGCTTTGCAACATGTGTTTTCACCCTTCTTCTGGCACGCGACGAGAGAAGAAAGCAAACGGCCGATTCAGCCGCCAGCCTTTTGGGTTAATAGGTATGCCGAGGATTAAGAGGGACTAGTTAGGTGGCAACAACGAGGAGATAGAGTGCTCAAGCTCGGGCGCTAGGGTCAAAGAGAGAGACTCTCTAGCACTTCACCAATGACGAATGCCCCCCTCTCTTGGCCACGGCGACGGAAGTCCCGGCGCTTTGCGTGGTGCTCGGTGGAGAAGTCATGGAGGAGGGAGGAAGGCGGTCGCTTGCGCTCGGATGCGGTAGAGATGGAGGATGGAGACCACCGGACGGCGGGTGTGGTGGAGAACATTGTTGCGAGGCGATCACGGTGGACCACGCTGCGACATTGCGGACGCTACTTCGAGTGGAGAGCGACTTTTCTAAGCGGACACAGCAGTTGAGCTTAAAGAAACATGAAGACGAGCGCAGGAGAAAAGTTGTTAGGTCGCTCGGAGTGTCGCACCCACAGCAACCTGAGTGTCCGGCGATTGGACGCCCGGGTGTAAGCATTTCCGCACAACAAATAGCATCATCATCAGCTTTGTTGTACCACCGTGTCGAGCTCTTTGCGTTCTTGGGCTGGAAGGAGAATTACAACAACTTTAATAGATTCTTGGTGAAAAAATATCATCTAACGACCTTTTTAGTTGGATCTCTAAATATAAACATTCTTTATTCTAGATTTTCCGCTAGTGAATATGGAGAGCGGGCATGACTCTCTATAGTGTGGAGAAAATATAGAAGAGCTGTTGGAGAGCACACAGAAGATATAGAAAGCAAAGTTTAAGAAGGCGCCAGGCGCTTTCTAGGCGCTGACCCTTAGCCTAGTGCCTAGGCCAGCCTAGGCATTTCAAGGTGTTTTTCTAGGTATTTTGCCAATTTAGCGCACAACATATATACATATTATATATATATATATATATCAAAAATGTTGAGTAAATTAGTTAAATAAAAGCATAGAGTAGCTGAATACAGTATATAAAAGAGAGGACAGTAGACATACCTTAGTGGCTTACTAGCTTAGGTTCAATAATCAATAGACAACTTGTTCCTAGTTCCTACAGCAAGGATTGACAACTTATAAATACTCAATAGATAGCAAGCAATTCATCAAAAAATAGAAAATAGCAAGTTGACACTTATCTGAATGATTTCAGCCATCTCCCATCCATAAACAGACCATATCAGCAGCTAGTAATTACAAATTTTAAAGCACAGACAAGTGGGCAGGCAATCACAAAATATATTCAAGCAATCACAAAAGACAGATTCAGTATCCATCCATTCATTCATTATTCACAGAAGATGTTCGCTTGGCTTATAAGCCGTATTTTTTCAGCCAACGAATAGTATTTTTGTCTCACAATAAATCAGTCAACAGTACTTTCAACTATGGCTTATCATCAAGCTTGGACATCAGATAGGTTTTATGGTATTATAGTGATTTGGATGATATGCAAGACTTTGTAACAGACAAATCGTTTCCGCTTTTAAAGATCCATCCATTCATTGAGCCTATTCACTTAATCACTTAGGTCATTCAATAATGCAGTAGAGAGGATCAGGAGAGGGAGCTACATCAAGGTTGACATCTTGAAATTTGGGGCTGGGGCGGGAGGGTGCGTCAAAAATATGAGTGATGACGATTGCTGGGACGACCTCCCTTCCAGGAATTCATTATATCAGAGCACAATGCAGCACAAACAAGTGCGGGAGGAGGTCGTATATAGGCGGACAAAAGCGCCGGTGGGAGAAGAGCGATCCATCGATTCATTCATTATTCACTATTGGAAGGAGGAGCATTTGAAATGGCGGCGGGAAGTGCGCCCTCTCCTCTTATCCTTCCCTCATTGAAAGACACGGCATCAATTTTGGATCAACTCAAAAGGTTCAATTTCGTTTTTCTTTGTGAGGTATGCCGTGCTGATTAAGAGGATCATGGGGTGGTCCAAGCCGGGAGTGTCAAGCATCTAGACTGGGAAGTCTTTCGGCGAAGACGACCTTGCGGGATGAGCTTGCCCACTACGGCGCCGGGAGGAGGTCGTCCACCTGGGAGGGAGCCCTCTCTCTCGTCTCTCCCTCTTATCCTTCGGCCTGCTTTTAAGCGGCTAAGCGCCCTTTGATGTCCGCCTCCGCCATAGGCCAAAGAGGGCACCCAGGTGTGATTTGTGCGCCGTTACTGGCAGGGCTTCCTTAGCGGGCTACAAGCGACCAGATGACTAGCGACTAGTCGCGCCTAGGCGGAGCCAAGGCGTCGCCTTTTTGAACTTTGATAGAAAGCGATTTTTACTCGAGTGATGATTTAGAGACTAAATTTTAGAAAAACTTGGAGATGCTCTTAGTAGGCCTGCACATTCAGTTAATTTGATGAAATTGGTTATTTAGAATTTTGGTTTTAGCAAAGTGTTAACCGAATTGTTCTCAGAAAATAACCAACCAAATTGTTTTCGATCGAAACAGTTTGGTTAATCGGCCCTCTTTACAAGAGATAATACAACAACATTTATATTGGAAAGCACCTAACAAGGAAATGCATCATGTGATAAAACAAAAGGAAAAACAACAAAGAATGCTTCTAGCAAATAAAGTCTCATAGAAATACATTTAAATATACAAGTGGGCACAATTTTATTGTTTAATATAATAGTCAGAAAGAGTTTTAGTTAAATTGGTTAAGGCCAACTCAAAATTAAATAAATTTTGGTTAACCATATAGCACAAAAGTCTTCACCGAATAGATCACGAAAATTTTGGTCAACCAACATTTTTGTTTAAATTGATTTGGTTTGTTTAATCGATTTTGATGAATCTTTACCCACCCCTAAGAATTACTATATGGCTCGTAGGGCCATCTATAATCTAAGCCACAAGCTTACGAATATTCACTACATAACCATATAAAAAGAGTCAAAAGTCTATTGTAGGATTTTTTATTGCATTATTTTCATTTAAAAATATTTGGATGTAAATTTATTTTTACAAACTTTGGATATTTAAAAAAAATATTTCTAATCCAATTTACCTCCTAAAACTTTTAACTTAGCCCGATTTTTCTCTCACAACAAAACCACCATCAAAATAGGAACAGTTCTAAAAGGTAAGGTAAAAAAATTGATTTTAGATAAGAAGATGAACGGGGCCATAAAAGAGTCAAAAGTCTAATATAGGATTTTTGATTGCATTATTTTCATTTAAAAATATTTGGATGTAAATTTATTTTTACAAACGTTGGATATTTTTTAAAAATATTTCTAATCCAATTTACCTCCTAAAACTTTTAACTTAGCCCGATTTAACACCGTAACGCCACATCGGCAAAACCACCATCAAAATAGGGAACAGTTCTAAAAGGTAAGGTAAAAAATTGATCTTGTAGATAAGAAGATAAATCTCTGGAGTGCGGGTT